CGGGTGCATAATGGTACAGAACACCACACACAAAGTAGTGTAAAACTGGGAAAATCGAAATAAATCTATGGTTGGCACCAATGTCACTTACATTCTATACAGCACTGCAGTCAGTGGAAGCCGGGTAAGGGTAAGCAGAATCTCCTACATTGCTTATTATTTCAAAGTGGAAAAAGCTTAAAAGATAAACCACTTGAATAAAAGGTTTTTTAAAATAGGTGCTGGGCTGGGGGTGCAGCTCAGGGGTACAGAATGCCTAGCATATGCAAGGTCCTGGATTGAATCCCCAGCACACACACACACACACACACGCGCACACACAAAATCCAGCCAAGTATGGTGGTGCACACCTGTAATCCCAGCACTCCGCCACAAGTTCGAGGCCAGGAGAGCTACAGAGTGAGTTCAACGTCAGCCTGAACTAGTGAGATCCTGTCTTGCGTGTGTGTGTGTGTGTGTGTGTGTGTGTGTGTGCATTTTAATACTAGCATTATTTCTATAGCACAATTATAGAAATCTTTAAAGTTACTTTTCACTACAAATATTTGTCAAGTTTTATTTCAGAAATATTTTTCCTATTCTCTTGCACAGACACCCAGACACATTACAAAAAATTCATTCATAACACAGTAAGGGCAAACTTTACCCATGTAAACATCTTCCATTAATTTCCCACAATTTTAAAAAACTATAGAATTACAGATACTGAATAAGGCTCATAGATTTTGCTCAAATTCCACAAAAGACTCTGTTGGGGTTCACTTCTGGTTGCAATCAATGCCGAAAGTGGACTCAGGGCTTCCACTCGCGAAACAAAACCTCTCAACCCAAGAAATGCGTTTCAGGATAAAAAGAGAACACAGAAAACCCAGGAGGAAAAACTTTCGCAGTAGGGAGCTCAGAATCACGGAAGTAACTTTCTTAAACGATAAGCAGTCATTCTGCAGTCCCTGAAGTTTCTCCATACTGAATCAAGATTAATTCTAGTGTTACCCAAAATGTGACCTAGTAGATGGGTTAAGATACATCGGCGTGTGTGTTCATATTGCTAGTATACACAGTGAAAATCTGCCATCAAATTCATCATTTCATTATATCCAGGACCAAAGTGAAAAAAACAAAACAAAACTCACTCAAGTCGAGTATCATTAGAAAGGAACTATTTTTCACCCCAGGAACACAAGTCAGGAGAGGTATGTGGGAGGTATGTCACAGGGCCGAGATGGTGTCCAGTCACAGGCAAGAGGCAGCGGGGGCTGTGACCGAGGACGGTGAGACCCTGTTTTTAAAAAAAAGTCCGTAATTCTTCACGCGACAGGAAGGCCCACATCTTTCCCACCTCTCCGACCACAGACACCAGCGGACCGCGCACCCCGCGGCAGAGGTGAGTCTTGGAGTCTAAGCTGGAAAGAAGTTCAGATACTCATCACACATATGCGACGGTGACAATGTTCCGAACACTCGAGTAAAAATTACTATGACGATCCGTGTCGCCTGTTTCTTAACTTTTTTTTCTTTTTTTACCGTGGCTTCCAAAGCATTTCAAGTCACACTGAAATAGCTTGGGCGGATTTCAGTCACCGGTAAACACACCCGTCGGCGGGACGCGCTTCCAGGCACCACCCAGGCGTGCGTGAGAGCGCCGGGGCCGGGCG